GTCTTCTCTCTCAGAATCCCTGCCGTGTATTATAATTGCACGGAAGGCACTTCAACATCTGCATTTTATATCTATGTTGTAATGCATTAGGCTGATGTGCTTGTAGCGTTACGTCACCATTCAGACGCCGCACGCCATAGCTGGGAATATGGCGTAAGAGTGGGGTGTTTTATCTCATGTTCGCGCGGTGGTGGGTCCAACGATTGATCCATATTTTCTCCCTTATTGGTGTTGGGTCTTTTTTTAAAGGTGAGGGTGGGGTTACGTGTAATTACGTGTTTAAGACATCACTGCGGCCACCATACGTGCTCACTCACACGCACAAGCACACGTGCACCGCATTAACATACACCTCACGCACACACACACACACACACACGCACACACACGCACACACACACACACACACACACAGAGAGAGAGAGAGAGAGAGAGAGAGAGAGAGAGAGAGAGAGAGAAAGAGAAGACGTCTGGGCTTTTTAAACAAAGGGGAGGGAAAACAGCACGATAAAATGTACAAGAAGTTATGTATCTGAAAACCATTTCACACGATTTCCCAATGGCCAGATTTGACTTTATCAAAGAACATCCCACCGGGGAAAAACACAGGGAAAATATCCTCTATATCAACTTCACCTGTTAGATATATACATTCGATTCTGCCTACAGTAGGCCCTACTGTGACCTTGAAACCTGTAGACATGAACATTTCTGCATAGCATACACGGCGTGATGATATTATTATGGATTATAATAGGAAGAAATCGCCATTAGTTATATGAATGTACATAACTTGTACAATAACACTGTCTGCTACATTTGTGTATATTATGTTGTGGCGCGTTGGTGAGGAGGGGATGCAAGCTGAATATCAGACGGGGGGGGGGAGGGGGGACGGAGATTTCTTTCATTTTTGTCCCACATATTCTTCCTATCAATTAACCTTTACCGGGATCGAAGAGAGAATGTTTTTCATTAGATATCCACAGGTATTTCTCTGCCTGTCCGTTGGCGGTCCACAAATATGTTCAGGGGCGGATCCAGGATTATTTGAAGCGGGTGGGGGAGGGGGGTGGTGCAGATTCAAAGCCGCTCCCCCCCCCTTCCCTTGGCGTGGGGTTCGAGGCCCGCTGAAGGGCCCCGAAAATTTTGGTATTTTAGAGGGCGAACGGTGCTATTTCGTACGGTTCTGAACTATAATTCAGCTAGTCAAAATTCTAATTTTACGAGGGCACCATTGGTGTGACTTTTTTTTCAGAAATCGAAAGGGGGGGGGAATCAGGACCTCCTTGACAGCCCCTCCCTAAATGCGCTACTGTATGTTGTCTGTTAACATGTCTGTACTGTCTAGTGAAGAATGTTGCACAAAAAAATGACGTCATCGCCCAGCTTGCCTAGAGCTGGTAGAGAGAACAACAAGTATCTCCATTCTACTTTGCATAAAACGTCTACAAAATAAGGTGCACTAAAAACAGGGGTATTTGGCGCTTCTGAGTTAATAAAACAAACCTGTGGGTCTCAGTCTGTGCCCTTTTCTTTATTTCGGTGGAGGGCCCACAACGTACGTCCACTAAGATTCCTATCTGCGACGTACTGTATGTTCTACAGCTGAATTCGCTAATTTGATTGGGAAAAAGATTAAAGATTATCATAGCCCCCTGCCTCACCGCCCTCCCTTGTATCTGCCTTCGGTGGTGAGGGGGGGGGGATTGAGATGTAAAACATGATTTATGAGTTCATAAACATGATACTTGATTTTTCTGTTGTATAATCCGTATGATGAGACATGCGCTTTAAAGATTAATTCAAAGAAGAGAGAGAGAGAGAGAGAGAGCTGAATAAAGAATTGCGTGTTTTTTTCCCCCACGAAAACACCATCACGCTCACAGATCAAATTACAGATTTACATTACTCCTTTTCAATGTAATTTTACCTGATCGACGTCGTGAGACCAATTCAGGTGCTGTACATATTTTTAACATGGAAGTCTCGGGTGTATGCTAATTATTTATAATCTGGTGTCATTGAACCATGTTTAGAAGACCCAAGGCCGTGATAAGGAGTCATTTGCCAAAATACGTTTTAGGACTAATTCTCAGATGTTGACCTCGTGAAATTTCTTAAGACTCTATGGGACTCTCAAGGAATATTAACCCACAATACTGTATGAAACTCTACAGATACTCCTGACACCCCCCCCCC